GCTTGTCGGAAGGAGGGACTTAGAAAGGAGAAAACGAAGCGTTTGAGAGAGGCGGGGCATAGAGGACCTACAATAATGTACAGTATTTGAAAAATAATGTGTTTTTTGAACATTAAAGCATGTCAACATATTCTGTTACACCAAATACACAAAATAATGATCTTTAAAAAAGCATCAATATGACCCCTTTAAGTACAGCTGTGTTTCTTATTTGTTACCATGTACATACACTTCAGGTAAGTACCTTGTGTTACCACTCATTTGCCTGTAGGTACAAGATATTTACCATGTATGTACCAGGGAAGTACACGTACTGTAAAATAAAGTACTACCACAATTTTACGTCATTCTTTTCTGATGGACATTTCCTTCTCCTTTTGGTTTATTCCTCCATGTTCTTGCCCTTTTTGCCTACTTTCACATACACCGTTGTGAGTATGACAGCCACCACCAAAATCAGTCCACTGGTCACCAGGTACGCTATGGGCAGGAAGTAATTCTGCCCACCAAACCAGGTCACCATGGAGATCACCAGCTCCTTCCGACCTCTAAAGGGCTCGACAGGAAAATCTGGATTTATTGGTCAAGGCAAAACCTACTTATGGAAAAAACAAACAAAAGAAAGAAATTAAACTGATAAATATAATATCTTCAAGGAATGGTTCACCCAGAAATAAAAAATGCAGTCACCCCAGTCAAAATTCAGAACAACCCTTGTTGTTCTATATGACTTTCTCTGTGGAACATAAAGAAGATGTTTTGAGAACTATATTTTTGTCTCAGTGGTTTGTTTTTGTTTTGTTTTGTTTTTTGTTGACTTTTTTCATATAATATTAATTAGTGGTCACCAAACATGCTTGGTTGGTTACCATACCAATATACTTCAAAATATTTTTTGAGTTCTGCAGAATAAAGAATGTCATAGCAGTTTGGAACAACATGAGAGTGAGTAAAAGATAACAGAATTTTCATTTTTTTGATGAACTATACCTTTAAAAGGAAAAAGACAAATAAACAAAAAAGACTTCATTTCGTGACTATGTAAATTTGTTAGCTGTTTGTAGGTTTTGTCACAAAACTGAAAGCCTGTCAGTGCTGCTGAACCATTTCCTTCCATTTACAACCAATTCTGTTCTCCATCAAGCAAAGGATACTGTAATTTATAGAGAGGGTGTAGTTGCCGGCTGGCAAGCCATCAGTGAAAGGCCCTTGAGCACGATTGAGAACCCCATAAAGCTTTTTAAAATTAGGGAAGGCCGCCTCTCTCATCCAAACAATCAGGTCGTCATTTATGAAGCCATTGTTGTTGAAGTCTGTGTCATCCAGCTCATAAACCGAACGCTGCCAATATAAGGGCCTAGTCGTGCCTGAAAACAAACAGAGAGACAACAGTGAGAAAAACAAGACACATTGTGTTCATAAACGTGGTGTAGGCCTATATGGTGTGTAGTCTACCTTCAAAGGCTTGTTGAAGTGTGAACGTGTCGTTGGCCGGAGGGTTACGGAACTTGACGTTTTTGTCCGTATACCATGCAATGCCTTTCCTGTAGAGTGGAACTTGTATTTCTGACCCATCCGCTGGATTATACATCACTGTTAATGAGTCTAAAAGAAGAAGAAGAAAAAAGAAAGAAAAAAATATATATATATAAACAAGCACAAACAACAGCAAGTAAAACAGCTTAATGGCATAATTCTACTATGGGTCTTACCATTGAACATACTGTTGGCCACGGCACCACAGGGGGCAATGGGCACTCTGTTTGCAACGTAGTCGAACGGAGCGCAGTACGAAATCGGTGCCTACGTGAGCAATAACAACATCTTTAAATTGTGATAACAGCGCTACTAATGTGAAGCGTAATGAGAGATCAAATATAGACAGACGTTATTTTAATCAGTGTGTGGGAGGAATGAGGAAAGAGCGTGAAATAGGAGTGCAAACAGAAGGGGAGTCAAAGAGACGTCGAGCACCTTCAGGTTGTTCTTCCTCCCCACCATCTGTGCATCATCGCGGGAGTCCATGTACCTCCGCAGGTTCTGATGAAAGTTCCTCAGACCGTAGTAAAAGAACACATCGCCCTGAGGGAGACAGCGCGCTATCAGACGAAGTACTAGGCTACATCATGTTGAAAGGAAACACGCTGTCTTGTTGAAATTAGGCAGCAGAAATTTAAAAATATATATATATATAATCTAGGACATCTTCTCTTTAAAAAACAAACAAACAAGCTGTGTTTTAAGTGGTCTAAAATCTGAAGCACAGAAACTTGCCATAGAAAATTATTGGAGCCATTTGGATAATCGTATTACAATGGACATCTATTGGGCAGAATACAGCTCATTTTTTAAGAGCTGATATATTAGATAATAAAATAATGTGTTACTTTATGTAGCCTAAATCATCCTTTTAGCGGTGGGACTGTACTTGGCAGATGAAAAATTCTACCGGAAATTTCGCATATTATAAAAGCTGAATTGGCAGCACCATTACTCCAGTCTTCAGTGTCATATATGATCCTTCAGAAATCATTCTAATATGCTTGCTGATTTGGTGCTCAAGACACATTAGCAATATTGAAAACAGTTGTGCTGCTTAATATTTTTGTGGAAACCGTGATACATTATTTTCAGGATTATTTCATGAATAGAAAGTTTAAAAGAACTGCATTTTTTATAAAAATGTTTAGTAGCCTAACATTATAAATGTCTTTATTGTAATTTTTTGAACAATTAAATTGATCTTTGCTAAATAAAAGTATGAATTTCTTTAAAAAAAAATTTTTTTTTTAAATCTTCACCTGAAACATTTGAAAGATATTGTATCATATTGTATCATAGTAAGCTATATAGCCAGACCCACCGGAAAGGTTTTTGGAACCTGGAAGCTGACTGTGCATGTGCAGGCTGTTCTGGAGGTGATGGCATGCTTTCTCAAATCAAAGCACCGTTCACATGTTCCAGCAATGGTGTAGTCGACCTATGCAACAAAAAAAAACAAAAAAAAGGGAAAGAAAACCGTACAATATGAATGTAGAATGTGACTGGTTGGAGTCATGGCAACACATACTCCAACATGTTGAGCTGTGGCCCTCAGTTATTCTATAATTCATATATTAGTCATTCTATAATTTAGGGTATTTCACATCAGGCATATGACTTCACATGATTTCTCAATAAAACGACAACTGGTTTCAATGTATGTCTATATTTCATCGGTGTAATTTACGTATTAAATGCTAAGTTTAATCATTAAAGACTATTTTGAAATTAAAAAGTTAATATATATAATATATATATAAAAACTATATATATAGAGAGAGATAGAGATAGATAGATAGATAGATAGATAGATCAATCGATAGATAGATAGATGCTGTCATGTTGCTACAAAAGATAACAAGAAAATCAAAAAAATAAATAAATAAACATGCTACCTAGCAACAGCCATGACAGCACATATATACTGTATATATGCTGTCATGGCTGTTGCTTTCTTTCTTTAGATTACCCTATAATTTAGGGTATTTCACATCAAGAATAAAGTGTAAAATCATGATTTCTCAATAAAACGACTACTGGTTTCAATTTAGGCCTATACTTCATCAGTGTAACTTATTTACTAAATGCCAAATTTAATCATTAAAGACCATTTTGATATTAAAAAGTTATATATATATATATATAGAGAGAGAGAGATGCTACAAAATGCTACATAGCAACAGTCATGACAGCATATATATATATATATATGCTGTATATGCTGTCATGTTGCTATGTAGTTAACTAAGCTGTTGCTAGGTGGTATGTTGTGGGTTTTTTGTTGATTTTGATTGTTAAAAAAAAAAGTTCGCCCCAAAGCAATGAAATTCTGGTCTCTACATACAGTATGGCTGCCCTAGCAAGCAGTGCTTATAACAAACAACACAGTTGACTCATGGTCCATTGTAGTTAGCTACTTTAATTAAACAACTAAATGAATGTCTTTATCAGTGTATTATTAACAGTTTGGCTTTTGACCACCAGCCTTGATGAAAAATATAATAGTAGCGATTAACCAAGATGTTAAATGTATCAAATTACATGTTAGGTCTATTAGAAGAAAAAATTGCAAAAGAACTTGACCAACACATTGTTACACTATAAGAACACTCTAAAGTCACTCTCTGATGGTTTTGTGGGTTGCATTGACTTTGTTTCCACAAAGGAACACATCTTCCTGGTCTATTTCTCCTCTTCCGGCAGTCTTGCAAACTGGCACATGATTAAAAAAACATGTCTAACCTTCAGTTCGTATGTGTTCTCAACAGTGATGAAGAGCCATATGCCCAGAAACAAGCATACGAGAGAGAGGATGTAGAAGGTTGGCAGCACGGTCTGTGCCGTGAGAGATGGAGACCAGGCGGGTAACCTCTGCTGTTTAAACGCTGAGTTATCCGGACGCCTCAACAGCGGCCCTGTACCTGCCTGCTTCTTTCCCATCTCAGATTCTCTAGAACCTCACAAAACTAACAACACAATTTCAAATAAAATTGTTTTCTTTTAACTGCCACCGAAGGAAGTTTTCCCAGTTCCGAGTGTGACTGAACCTTTGAACCTGAAGGGACTGTTACTTATTAACTACAACCACTCCACCTTTTACACACAGAGAACTGTTCTCCCTGTCTTTAGCTCTGACTGTTAAACCTCCCCGGCACTCCACACATTCTTTTCCATCAGAACTGAGTCTCTCCTCATTCCTGGACTCTGCCGTAATGTGTGGGAGCAGCATCTGGGTGAATGTGTGTGTGCTTGGTGCCTGAGTTTGTGTGTTGCAACAGTATATCCTGAATAAAGTATCAACAAGCAATAAGCAGTATATCCTGAATAAAGTATCAACAGTCTGTTATGGGAGGGGCTCCTGGTGTACAAAGACAAAATAAAAAAAGGATGGATGTTTTTGACCAATCAGTTTTTTTTATTTACAATCATAAAAAAACATTCACACACAATATATTTTTTTCTTGCAGCAGACATATGGCACTAATATACATTACAATAGCTCTATTACATGCTGAACAAGTAAATGAACATGAATGTGTAAATAACAGAGAACACAATGTCTGCTTAAAAGAGTCCTATTTTAACTGTTCCTTCCCTGCAGCTCTGGATTAGACCATGGTCCATCATTTTCAGCAAGTCTCCTTTCACCTGAAACAACAACAAAAAATAATTCTAGCTATTTTTTCAGTTATCACAATGTAGTTCAAGTTTAAAATGAATTAAATCCTAAATAATCAAAGTTTAGTGTATCAGATATGAACATTTACAAGCTAATCTTTCTTTTCCTGGAAAATTGACAAATAAAATTATATTCTTGCAATTCAAAAAGTAGCAAAACTTTTTTTTATGTAACTTAAGACAAAAATAATAAGTCATTCATTAAGTCCCGTTTCAACAAGAAATACAATGACACAGGAAAGAAACTGTATTCAGTGTTGTCACCATCACCCATAATTTTGGCAAAATCTACATTAGATCTCAAATGTTATAAATCATTTCATATTCATTAAAAAGTCTTTATAATGCAATTATAAACAAGCCTGTCCTATCTGAAAGCAGCACATACATCAATGTTACCTCTGGTATATCCACCATTCTCCTGTGCTTCTGGTCTCTGTAGTTCCAGTCCAGAACCAGATATCTCAGTGCTTGTGCAGTCAAACCCTCTAGAGCACAAGCATCACAAGTCAAGCAATGAAAAAGTTGTTTCACAAAACCAAAAACCATGTAAAATAACAAATTTACAAGAAATGTGCATCAAAACAAACCTTTCTCTAATGGCACACATTCTCCCAGGAGTTCCAACAGCAATTTGGGTCACACCTTTACTCAGTGACTTTATCTGTTCATCCACCTTGATGTGTTTTGCGAACAGCTTCAGCACTTTAGCTTGTCTTTGAACACCATCAGCTGCCTTAAACACAAAGAGAGGGAAAAAAGACTAACACTTGAGAAGGCAACACTCTTATTATTTAAAACAGAACTGCTGAGACTCACTTAATGAGATCAATGGTTCTTCGAGCAGATCCACAAACGATGAGCAACACCACTGACCGGGTCTGGGTGTACTGCTTCTGTATTTTTGCCCACGTTGGACAAACTAAAATAAAGATAGCAAAGAAAAAATAATAAAAATCGAATGAAATAACAAGTAAATCTTAGGCCAAACATATAAGAAAACAAAAGTCATACATTAATATTAGAGATGTTGATTAACATAAAACAATTTACCCATTTAGCAAAAAAATAATGCAATAAAACACAATTACACAATAATAAAGCCCTCTGAGTTGTCTGTACAATATCATTTAAAAGGTTGGGGTCAGACAGATTCTTTTGAAGGAAATTATTATTTTTATTTAGCAAGAATACATTACATTGAGCATAAATTGGGAAAAAAACCCTCATCATTTACTCAAACTCAAGATGCCCCTTGAAACCTGTATGAGTTTCTTTCTTCGGTCGAACAATTCGGTTGAAGAAGATGGGAAAAAATGTATGGAAGTCAATGGCAAACCAGAAACTGTTTGGTAACCAACATTCATTAAAATATCTTCTTTTATGTTTAACAGAGCGAGCAAATCATGACAGAACTTTCAGTTTTGGGTGAACTATCCGTTTAAACAGTACAACTATTATCAACATTAAAAATAATATGAAATGTTCCTTGAGCTCCACATCAGCATATTGGAATGATTTCTGAAGGATCATATGACACGGACGACTGGAGTATTAGCTGCTGAAAATTCAGTTGTGTCATCACAAGAATAAATTACATTTAAAACATTTTAACCTCCTGAGACCCTGCATCCTCATATGAGGACATTATATTTTAGTGAATTTCTCTGAGACTATACATGCCACAGATTTAAGGCACATTCCATAAAGCACATTCAGGGCTTTTCAGAGATACTGAATGTTTGATAATGTTTGAAAAATGTCTGATATTAATTTAGTGACACTCTTATGGAAATATGATAATATTTTGTAATCATTTAAATCTGACTAATTTTTAAACTGTGTGTCATAAAACAACATCTCAGGAAAATGTTATGGGGTTTCAAATCAAAATATGACTTTCTGTTACGAAACAGGACGTTGATTTCATACATGTCCTCATATGAGGACACCAGGACTAAAAGCATGTTTATTACGCATTTTGGGAGACACAACAAATGAATAGGGAAATAAATTATATTTCAATATTCCTATGAAATATTATATATTATTATGAAAATCTTGTAAATTATTACTCCCATTATTATACTTCTTTTTTCATTACATGTTGCCCCAAAAACTCATTAATATGCAAATTAGATTTAGTTCATAGATACATTACATATAATGAGAAAACCTGTTTATGGCCATTTTACACACATTTTGCATGAAGAAAAATGGTATATCAAATCATTCTGTTATAACATAGTTGAGAATTATCTTTATACAAAGTTTTGGTAAAAAAAAAAAAATCCTGAAAACTAAAAATGCATTGGTGATTTTAAAAAATCTATTGTTTTTGCCTATCAGTTGTTTTTGCCTATCTCTCTTTAAGAAAATGAAATGATTTGAGGTAGGAAGACAAGCTACATGTAAGGTCATTTCAGCTGAGGAAACAAGACTCTGAAAGAGAGAAGAAGACAAACAAAATCAACTCCTTCTCCAGATTCAAACAAAACCACACACAAACATGCATTAATCAACTCACCGCTTAGCGTCAGTTCCCCTGCTCAATAACAGAGCGGGTCTGGCTGTGGTGACTCTTCAAAAGGCTCAGAAGGTCAGCTGGAGAGCCTGGCACAGGCTCAGAGCTCGTCAGCACATCTGTGATAGTTTTCTTCTTCTAAAGACAAAGGAGAATTATGCAACAATAGCATGTTTTACAGCACATACATCAGGGGCAAAGACAGTGACTAGAAAAGGAATGAATGAATTCAGATAAGCTTTGTCCTCTAATATAATTTAAGAGGCGAGTTTCTCAACATAGAAAATGTCAACCAAAATGAGAAATGAGTTGTCAAATAATGTTTAGTGAAATCAAAGAAATTCTGCAGTAAGTTTGCTCTTTGTGTCTCTTTTCTATCAAGCATGAAGTGAAAATTATTCTGAAGCAGCATACTGAACTGGGCAAAAGAGTTTGACATCTACAGTAACATTAGCCGACATGTGAATCATAATTCTTACCTTTCTTCTCTTCTTGTTTTTGTTGGACTCCTTATCGCCCGTTCCCTCTGATCTCTCCTGAGTGATGAAACATTCTTTCTGCAGGGAAAGTAAGACACTCTTTACTTAAAGATGCCCTGGTTCTGTTTTTGCTCACAAGACCTTTTGTCTCAAATACATCTCTTTGATGAAAAACTTAAATGCCTGAACCCAAGAAAAAATTACTCACAAAGTCGAGGTTTCTAAATGTTTTAAAGTGCCCATGTTATGCTCATTTACAACTTCATCATTTTATTTTTGGGGTCTGAAAGAATACATTTACATGATATGAAATTCAAAAAACACACTGTTTTTCTCAGTTTCTGTCTCTTTAAAGCCTGCCTTTCTAAAATACCCAGTCTGCTCTAATTAGTCAACTGGCCCATATTGTTGTGGGTGGTCAATTGCATAGAGTGTGTCAGGGAAAGGTAAAATAAAAAAGCACAGCAGATGCCCGTTTAAATATAAGAATAGTTTAACAGGTTTCTAGAAGAACTGTCAGTGGTTGACAAAGTGAGCACTTTTTATTTGAACATATTTTAGGGACTCTTCATTTGGCAATGAGCTCCATTTGCAGCCTAGAAGCAAAACCGGTTCAAGCATGTTTGAATTTTGAATTTTTAACTCCTGTGTCATTTCTGTCACTCTAGTATCACTAAACAGAATTGCAAAATTGTATTTTTTTTTTGCATATCTGTCATTGTTCTACAAAACAGAAAGCTCCGCCCCTGAACCCACACCATTGGTTAAGCAACAAGTGAGCTTTAATCAAGTGCAACCATGCCATTTTCAGCTGCCTTGATTCTGGAAGTAGTTTTCCCATTCCTTTTTCCAATTGGGATTTTTAAAAAAGTCTCTGTTAATGGGTTATAAGCCATAAACCATACCAGCCAACTAAGAGGTGATTCAGAACATTACAAACTTATTCGAAAATAAGTGTACTTAATGTGTACTTAATGGCTTTAATGAGGGAAAAAATAGAATTGCAACTGACAACCAAATTAAAAACAAAATATCAAATGCAATGTAATGTAATGCGAAATATGCATATATACAAATGTTTAAGTAGTTTGAAAGCACAGGGAGATTGACTCGATTATGTAATTTGCAGGGCTTCATGGGAGTGGCTTCTTTTGGTATTAGTTATAGTTCGTAATTAATTCCCCTATGGAGAAAATGAATGGGTTTTTTACTTCCGGAACCCAACTGTCACACACTAGCTATAGCCTATTCTGTCAGAAAATATTTTTAATGGCCTCACAATCATCACCACCAATAAACGTGTTTGTGTTACCTTACCCGTTTTCTTCCTCTTCTTTTTCTTGGTGTTGTCTTGAATCTGTTATTCACCCTTCCTTTTCTTTGATGTAGATTTAATCAGTTGTTCTTCTGCAAGTGGCTGTGTCCTCCTCTACCGTCTGACAACCTTAGCAGTTGGCAAATAAATGAAAACTGATTGAAGTTCACAAAAATGTCACAGTGCACATTAATAACACCAAAATAATATAAGGACAAATACAAACATTAGGAACGGCAATCATTTACATGGCAGAAAACTACATATCCCAAGATGCTCTGCGGACAGGGCAAAGACGTGTTTTGAGTAGTCTGAGATGTATAGATCTGTGAATATACAACTAACCAAGTTCCAAATTGCGTTCGTTTATTTACAAGAGTTTCATGTAAGTTACAGCTGAATTTTTAAAGATCTAACAGAATCTTGTTAGGCAGAATACTGAAGAGCACTACGAAGTGTGCACTGGCACAGCAGGCAGTTTAAAACCGACACGCGCAGATCAAAAATACACGATACAAATATGACGCTACAAAGTATAGCTGAAATAAATAAAACAATATGCAGTTTCACATAATGAACATGCCCTGAGTCTACCACTCGTCTCCCAAATCACCAGCCATGTCTTAAATTGCGCGAATCTACCGACTAAAACAAGATTATGTTCATAATACGACTTTTATATAATTTTAAGTAAAAACATTCGAATACTACTAAAACGTACTTTATTATTTTCAGTTATTTGATTGATTGTTGAGTTTTTGGGGATTTTTATTTTTAACCCAACATTCGTCTAAAAGTGAGACCGTGTGATTTTTATTTATTTATTTTCGTGTGGCTTCATTATATGCGGTAGGCTATTCAGATTAACTAAGTCTGAACCACTAGGCGGCGCTGAGTCCTATAAAATGATAATTATCACTTTATCAATATGTTCCACTTTCCTTCACACTTGTTCGACTGGTCATAACTCTATAATTCCTCCTTTCTCATTCCATGCACGCGCGCGCGCACACACACACACACACACACACAAGAAAAGCGCACGCAATTATTTATTCATCACAAACATGAATTAAAAATCTGTTTCCCTTCAGCGTACAGCACTGAAAGCAACTTCACAGGCTGTTCATCTAACACAGAGATCACTTGTGGTTGACCAAAGATGGAAATGATTTTGCAGAGAAATCCTCTAAAGCCATATCTAATTATTCAAGAGCAGTTGGCAACCGAGAGAAGGTTGCCTAGCAGTTTGTTTTAATGCTGTTGTCCCAAATACTGGCGAAGATTCTCTGAATTTTACAGTAAAGACCAAGTTCTTATTATGAACTGGAGTTGTGCAGCTGCATTTTATGTGACTGAATTAAGATTATGCAATTTCAACTTGGTCCATGAAACAAGGAGGAATATTTTACAGCCTTGGACTTTCAAGTGCAACCTTTAGATACACATTTACATGCACACTCGCACACAAAAAGGAAGAGAGAAAAAGACCCTCAACATTGTAATTTGCCCTTAATTACAACTCAACCATTCTCTCTCATTGTCTCCTTTCTTTCTTTCTTTCTTTCTTTCTTTCTTTCTTTCTTTCTTTCTTTCTTTCTTTCTTTCTTTCTTCCTTTCTTTCTTTCTTTCTTCTCTCCCTTAGTGATCCTTAGTAACAAGTAGGTTCTCGTCATGGCAACATGCTCTGAAATAGACTGTGAAGCTGCGTTGGATTCAAGCCGCAGTGGTCAAAAGACTGATGGAGTGTGGAATGATTTCACTGCATTATGGGATTCATTGTTTCAGTAGATTTTCCGTGTTATTAAGAGCTCTCCTTTGAGTAACTACACTTAAGGCCCACGGGAACGCAATGGAGTAATGCAGCAATCAAATCAATTCTTAAAACTGAGTGCAGATTGTAGTCACTGGCAAGTTACATTTTGTAATTTAGCTGAGGCTTTGACACAAACTGACTTGCAGTACCTAACCTTATTACAGGATCATATTTTTATATTTGCAGCTATTATTATATAGCTACTATTATATGACTAGTATATAGTTTTTGGAGTAGTGAACACTTTTTAATATTTTTTTAAATAAGTCTCTTATGTTCACCAAGGGTACATTTATTTGATCAAAAATACAGTAGAAACAGTACTATTGTGAAATAGTACAAATAAATTATTATAAATGTTTTATATTTTTATATATTTTCAAATGTAATTGAATTGATGTCAAAGCAGTCTTCAGTGTCACGTGATCCTTAAGAAATCATTATAATATGCTTATTTGGTGCTCAAAAAACATTTCATATTATTGTCAAAGTTAAAAAACAGTTTAATAATAAACAGCTTAATAATTTTGTGGAAACCATGATGCATTTTTTCAGTATTCTTTGATGAATATACATATTGTATATTGAATATTCTATTGTATATTGAATTTGTATATTCTTTGATGAATATACAACACACACACATATACATGTTTGTTTATATACAGGTGCATCTCAATAAATTAGAATGTCGTGGAAAAGTTAATTTATTTCAGTAATTCAACTAAAATTGTGAAACTCATGTATTAAATAAATTCAGTGCACACAGACTGAAGTAGTTTAAGTCTTTGGTTCTTTTAATTGTGATGATTTTGGCTCACATTTAACAAAAACCCACCAATTCACTATCTCAACAAATTAGAATATGGTGACAAGCCAATCAGCTAATCAACTCAAAACACATACAAAGTTTTTTTACAAACATACAAACTGAGGTCTCTCAGTTTGGTTCACTAGGCTACACAATCATGCGGAAGACTGCTGATCTGACAGTTGTCCAGAAGACAATCATTGACACCCTTCACAAGGAGGGTAAGCCACAAACATTCATTGCCAAAGAAGCTGGCTGTTCACAGAGTGCTGTATCCAAGCATGTTAACAGAAAGTTGAGTGGAAGGAAAAAGTGTGGAAGAAAAAGATGCACAACCAACCGAGAGAACCACCTCATGCCTTATGAGGATTGTCGAGCAAAATCGATTCAAGAATTTGAGTGAACTTCAACATGAATGGACTGAGGCTGGGGTCAAGGCATCAAGAACGATGCACCTGTATATATATATATATATATATATATATATATATATATATATATATATACTGTACATACACACACACACACACACACGCACACATTTTTTACCACTTTTGTCCACTTTTGACCACTTCCAGAGGTAATTGAAAATGCATTCGATCAGATTGCTTTTGTAGTAGAAATGCTTATGTGGTCATGGTCAAATGCATTCGAACAGCCACAAAAGACTGCTGCTATCCTTATATTTTTCCATAGATGTGTTCATACAGTATGGAAAAGAATCACCCCCTTTAAAATAATCCCATTTTGTTGCTTTGCAGCCTGAAATGAAGACATGCACAGTTTTTTGTTTTATCCAGCTGTATTTACTCATGCGTCTTATAACTTCCAAGTGAAACACCAACATATCAGAAAAAAATTATCATATCATATCATATATCATATCATATCATATCAGAAAAACAGAATCACTGAGTTGGAAAAAGGATCACCCCCTTGTGTCAGTATTTTGTTGAAAGACCTTTTGCTTTAATTACAGTCTTTAGTCTGTTGGGATATGTCTATTTGCCCACTCTTCTTTGCAGAACTGCTCATGTTCAGGATGTGGATGGTGTGTATTGGATTTCTGCCAGACATATCATCAAAGACCATCTGGATGATCCAGAGGAGGCATGGGAGAAGGTCATGTGGTCAGAGGAGACCAAAATAGAAGTTTTTGGTATAAACTCCACTCGACGTGTTTGGAGGAAGAAGAAGAATGAGTATAATCCCAAGAACACCATCCCAACCGTGAAGCATGGGGGTGGAAACATCATGCTTTGGGGGTGCTTTTCTGCAAAGGGGACAGGACGACTGCACCGTATTGAGGGGAGGATGGATGGGGCCATGTATTGCGAGATTTTGGGCAACAACCTCCTTCCCTCAGTAAGAGCATTGAAGATGGGTCGTGGCTGGGTCTTCCAGCATGACAATGACCCCAAACACACAGCCAGGGCAACTAAGGAGCGGCTCCGTAAGAAGCATTTCAAGGTCCTGGAGTGGCCTAGCCAGTCTCCAGACCTGAACCCAATAGAAAATCTATGGAGGGAGCTGAAACTCCATGTTGCCCAGCGACAGCCCCAAAACCTGGAAGATCTGGAGAACACCTGTATGGAGGAGTGGGCCAAAATCCCTGCTGCAGTGTGTGCAAACCTGGTCAAGAACTACAGGAAGCGTCTGACCTCTGTAATTGTGAACAAAGGTTTCTGTACCAAATATTAAGTTCTATTTTTCTATTGTATCAAATACTTATTTCATGCAATAAAATGGAAATTAATTATTAAAAAATCATACAATGTTATTTTCTGGATTTTTTTTTTTGATTCTGTCTCTCACAGTTGAGGTGTACCTACGATGAAAATTACAGATCTCTCCATTCTTTGTAAGTGGGAAAACTTGAAAAATCGGCAGTGTATCAAATACTTATTTGCCCCACTGTACATACACACACACACACACACACGCACACATTTTTTACCACTTTTGTCCACTTTTGACCACTTCCAGAGGTAATTGAAAATGCATTCGATCAGATTGCTTTTGTAGTAGAAATGCTTATGTGGTCATGGTCAAATGCATTCGAACAGCCACAAAAGACTGCTGCTATCCTTATATTTTTCCATAGATGTGTTCATACAGTATGGAAAAGAATCACCCCCTTTAAAATAATCCCATTTTGTTGCTTTGCAGCCTGAAATGAAGACATGCACAGTTTTTTGTTTTATCCAGCTGTATTTACTCATGCGTCTTATAACTTCCAAGTGAAACACCAACATATCAGAAAAAAATTATCATATCATATCATATATCATATCATATCATATCAGAAAAACAGAATCACTGAGTTGGAAAAAGGATCACCCCCTTGTGTCAGTATTTTGTTGAAAGACCTTTTGCTTTAATTACAGTCTTTAGTCTGTTGGGATATGTCTATTTGCCCACTCTTCTTTGCAGAACTGCTCATGTTCAGGATGTGGATGGTGTGTATTGGATTTCTGCCAGACATATCATTTGTTGTTGAGGCCAAATAATTCAATTTTAGTCTCATCTGCCTCAGAATCTTCAAGGT